TCATAATTTTTGTTACCAATTTCAATATCACAAAAAATAATTCAAGTGTAACCCCTCTGTCCCGGGTCCTCACCACCACACTGCATTCTTGTTCCGAGTGGGTCTCGAACCCAAGTCTCCGGCATGGGAGGCGGACGCACTAACAAGGAGGCTAATTGACTGCAGCCTCTAGCGTCAGTCGCTGGCGCGTCTCTTGAGACCTGCACAGCACTTACTCGCTGGCCTCCGTTACACTAGCCTAAGTAAAAATAAGCTTACTGAAGACAAGTAAACAGTCATATATTTAGAACAATATTGGTAACCAAACAGTTGCTGGGCCCTCACTACTTCTGTATATGAAAAAAATAACACTATTGGAGTCGGTTGGGACCAGAAACTGGTTACGATCATTCTTCAAAATAATCTTCTTTTATGTTGAGGAGGAAAAGGAAATTCATAGAGGTTTAGAACAATTTGAGGGTAAGTATATGATGACAGTATCTTCATTTTTGGATGAATATCCTTTTAAGATCTCATCATATATCTGATCATATAAGATCTCATATAGCTTAACACATGCTTTATCTTTAACTATTAACATTCATTTAAGACACAAATAACTGTGTTTACGAGGATACTCGCAAAGACGGGCATTTTGACACATAACTATGTGTATTTGACCGTTTAAGCACAAGGAGCGAAAGTTTAGTCAGTAATACGAGCAGGTGCGTGTCACGCGTATCAGGTAGAAGCCGTTTTAACGCACACATTTACCAGAATGAATTCTGCCCCGCATCGTAATGTCCATGAACAGTATAAACCATTTGTTTTAAAACCTGCTTAAAACACCTTGAAATGATTAGCTGACTACATCATGACGCGCTTCAATCAACGATTGATATATTTCTACCGGATTATCTCCCAACCCTTAAATGAATATAGTTTGTTCAAACACAAAAACAATATAAATCCAGTTAATAATCAAACTAACCTAAAATCTGTGTGGACGATGACACTGTTTTTATCTGCTCCATGTGCCCAGTTCACTTGCTGTTCCAGCAACTTCCACTCCATCATCAGCTTTAGTAAAATAACCTGATAGCTGGGGAATTTACTAAATCATGTTTTTTATGTTGTTTGTATTTGAAGTTTTTCGTTTTTTGAGCCCCTATCTTTTTTATAATTGCTGACATTTTTACTTATTGGAATGTTGTTCTTTGCGCGACCATTTCCAGATTACTCCAGAACAAAGTGAAGAGAGGTGAATGCAGACATACTGGGCAGCAATCACCTGATAGATACGTGCGCATATTGTTCAAAAGTCAAATATAGAATAAATGCATTTGATTGGTAAACCAAAATCCAAAATCTCAAATGGTAATGCATGGAATTTACGGGAAAGCTCAACTAAATAACAGCGCTAATAAGTGGGGGGTGTGGTGACTGGCAATGTTTAATTGTCTCCTGTGTTTATGTACCCTGTGTTGGATGGATTAAAGACGGTTTGTATATTCCTCGTCTCCTCGCTCCTTAGTTCCGGTTATCCTCATTTGTGTGTCGTGACAGAAGACCAGACCAAGACAGTAAGCGGCGCCCCTTCTCCCATGTTTTTATTTCCGTTTTTTTGTCATCTTTTGTTTTCCCTTTTCTTCTCCCCATGGTATGAGGACCACCCCACCCCGTTGCCAAGCGCGCCGTTGTCATGCCCGCCTGCCGCGCCGAAGACAAGCCCGCCGGCTGCTCAGAAGTAAAGCCTGCCGGCCGCTCCGAAAACAAGCCCGCCGGCCACGGCTCATTCAAGCCCGCCGGCCGTGTCGTTGGCAAGTCTGCTGGCCACAGCTCCCACAAGCACGCTGGCCGCTCTGAAGAAAGGCCCGCCGGCCGCCCCAGAGCTCGCTCCAGTGTCGGCTCCAGCCCCGGAGCTCGCTCCAGTGTCAGCTCCAACCCCAGAGCTCGCCCCAGTGAGGGCTCCTGCTCACGAGTATAGCCCACAGAGGGCTCCTGCTCCCGAGTATAGCCCACGGAGGGCTCCTGTTCCCCAGTTAAGCCCAGGGAGGGCTCCTGATCCCCAGTTCAGCCCAGGAAGGGCTCCTGTTCCCGAGTATAGCCCACGGAGGGCTCCTGATTCCCCGTCGAGCCCAGTGAGGGCTCATGTTCCCGAGTATAGCCCACGGAGGGCTCCGGTTCCCGAGTATAGCCCAGGAAGGGCTCCTGATCCCCAGTTCAGCGCAGGAAGGGCTCCTGACCCCGAATCCAGCTCAGAGCGCCCTCCAGTGCCCGCTCCTAGAAAGCGCCCTCCAGTGCCTGCTCCTAGAAAGCGCCCTCCAGTGG